TCGTTCTGAGGAGTAGCGCTAACATATCTCGGCCATTACCGCTAATAACCGCTCCTTAGACAATTACGATGGAAGGTCCATATGGTGTAGGCAAACCTCTGACCTATTTACTCACTGATGTAAAAATCTATTATTTCTATTTCGTCGTTATCTTCAATTTCCCGACGATCATTATCTAGCGCAGTGATACGTGTTTGATGTGTCATAATAAATTACCATGGTTACGTCTTGTCATCGCTGATATATTACACATACCTTCCTTTTTACATTTATGTATTCCAATTTTTTGTTTGTTTTTCAATCAGGATTCGATATTTTATGTTTTTATTGTTCAAGTACAAATGAGGTCATTGTTATCTGTTGTTTGGTTTAATGTTGATTTGTGTTTATTCCTAAGGCATTGCCTACACCAGTTGTATATAAAAGTAGTCATGAGGTCTTATACACATGTGTTTTAGGTTTAAATGAATGAAATTTACCGGAGACGTCCAATTGCATACTACACAAAATCGTTTGCTGGTTTTCTTTGTAAGCATACAGCCTTCGGCAGGTCTTTACGATACATGTCTCCGTGATGAGCCTTGGTGTGACTACTGGCAGGCTTTGACCATAAGATTAGTTCATCCTTTCATGTCCACTGTCATGTTATGTCTATTTTCACATCATCGCTACAAAAAAAGTCTGTTGTAAAACAGATATGTGTATAACCTGCTATATGCAACGTGTCGTGTGTGTTCTTCCTAACATGAACTGTTCCCTACCAGACCCCATACGTTGAGCACAATGATACAACTTAAATGGCATTGAACATAATGCATTTTGGTATGCAATATTAATGGAAATGAGTTGTGTATGTTTTGCGAACTGTGCTGTGTCAATCCCTTCAGGACAGCTTATTAGTAATTTACTAGCTACACGTCACACTGAACTGGGTACAACAAAACCAGATATACATTATACAAACGCAAAAACAAAGAACACTGTTTTTTTCTATCCGTTTCATTCATGTTTGTAACAATCGAAAGCCGTCCCTTTGAGGATACATTATGTGTATTTAGTCCAAACAGACAAACATATTTTTTTTTCATATCTTTTCGCATCGTAATTGACCAGGGAGCCAAGTAACATAAGAAATAAAGTTGCTGTTTTAGGTTATTATTATAAAAGACATCTCATTATTTATCTGGTCATGTAAGCGGCGTTTGAGCCCTGACAGTGGTAACGAACGTGAACCACGTTATTGGACCACGTTATCCCACACATAATTATGAGGGAGCTATCGGTATCGTATAGTAAAGTCGTAAAGAGTTAATGCTCTGTTGCATTTTTATGTTGAAGTTATAGAGGGGCATAACAAAAACATGTCACAGGTGTTATCGTCGTATTGTAATGAAGTCAATATTAGAATTTCATAAATGATTATAACAACACGAACACGAGCTGTCGCAGTTGTTTTCAGAACCAAGTATCATAGTTTTATAGACAAAGTAGAACAAACCCTCGAAAGAACATCTATGTTTAAATTATCATGACAAACCTTTTACGATGTCAAAAGAGCCCATAATATATCTCATATAAATTATATTACAACAGATATGTCCAAAATATGTATATTTACACGTGCGCTTAGCCATTTATCAATGGGTATGACAAGACACCTGCAGAGCCCTTGTCTATGACCGCAGGAATGTCCAGCCACAGTCAGGCATAGCGAGAAAGTATCTGGGTCCCCCTACCTCGGCCCTGTATGGAAAAGAAACTTAAAAAATGTTGATATGAGCATGGTCAAATTTCAGTGTGAGGAAACTCATGTCTACTAAATAAATATGTTAACTACAGGCATGCAAACCAACCCCTAGCGAGATGCAAATTAGAATGTTGGGTATGAAATCGAACAACTAATTAATATATGTCTATTTACGATGTTAACCTGGTGTGCTATGTGTTCCTGTATGTATCTAGAAAGTGGTATACAAAATACTAATGTAAACTCAGCAACGTATTCTCCTCGAATTGATAAACAATGTCCCTATTGAGCAGGCATTCCATCACTGTCAACTGGTCACACCTATAAGAACAGTGTATCTGGTGATGTGTCTTCGATAGTCATCAATTGTCAGTCCGGTGTTAAATTTAACACACAGGTTCCGTAATAGTAACACAGAACATTTTCGCTATACACGTCATTGCTTGTACGTAACCGAATACAGTGGGTCAGCACTTAATGGAAAGCATGTGGTATGTGGCTGATTTATATTTCAATTAGGCATGGCATGGTTACTTAATTCATCTTAAGATGTAAACTAACGCAAATAGCATTACATTTATAGTTTATTTTCTGTCAAATTTAATTGATAAAACAAAAATGAAATATAGCAAACGACCAAGCATAGTCATGCTCATTTGATGAATAAAACCAACCCAACAGTTAACGAGGCGACTAAGACCTGCTTATGTGTGTCTGTATACTTGGTCCAAGGTAAAGATACGATGTACCCTTTGATACTTGTTACACCTGGCAATGGCTGCAGGGCTGACCCCGTGATTTTGTGCTGGCCTGTTTAATTGGTCGCCTACGTGTGTTGGTGTTTGTCCCTGAGGTTTACGAGATCCACTGATCTTTCTGAACAAGAACAGAGCTATCGACTGCAACACAGTTAAAGTGCAGATTTGATGCATTGGAAGTGGAATTCTAGGAGTAAAGGCATAGCATTGTTTCTTGCATTGCTTCTTCACCAGAGACGCAAATATGTTTATGAGAGTTTCTTTCTCTTCTGTTTTGGTAATCCGGTGTTGTATCCTAATTGTCTGATTTTGGCATTACCGCAGAGCTCAATGTAGAAGTGTATACTATGTTATATACATGGAATCGCGTGGAAAGCACGTTTATGTAGTATAATATATGATGCATACAATACGTATATAAATCTCTTTTATATACTCATATATATCAAATTAATGAACACTAAAATGTCAATATCCTACCAGTGAGCAAATCCTTTTTTGTGGACGTGGTCATGTGTGTAGGGTGATCTACGCGTCCTATTTGTATGGTTTACACTGTACCCACACGTTTTCCCTTGTCATCCCCATTTGATCATACATGCAGATGGTACTACACGCAGATATGCACCATTAGATGGTTTTTCGAGATACAAGAAAACTTATTCTGTATAACTATAAATGTCATTTGATTAAATGTTTTTAGTTAGTTTGGCTCTTTTTTAACAAACTTGTCCAGACTTGAGTCTATTGATTTGTTTGAAATTTAAAAACCGATAAAATAATTCGATATCTGATATGGCAGTGATTGGGCACTAATGAAATTCCGCTACGAATATCAATAAATGCAAATTGTGGATGTTATTTAATGTCACCCAATAGGATATATATATTTAAAAAATATTCATCGGTCAATTGAAATGATGTTCAGAGAAAAATACACGGACGCTCTACTTTTTCTAATACAACAACATATAACCATATACATATATTTAATATGTTATTGTTTTTATATAATATATTATGTATTATTGTTTTTATGTAATATATTATATATTCATATTTGTATATCTGTATAGTAAGTTTCAATTTATTGTTCACGTTAGCCTTGTCATCACTATGCAATTTTCCTCTCCGAACCCCCTCCCCAGAAGCGACGAATGACTCGGAATTGATGTCATTCGTATTGTTCAATTTCATCATATAATTATTTATTTACATTACATGAATAAATAGTCAATAAGTGCAATGATAGGTAAATCGTTACATAATATGACCCAGACGTCTGTCGTGTGAACAGTTCATTAGGTTTGTTGTATTTCCAGGTAGGTAGGTGTGATTATTGAAGTAAAAAACAATATCAGGCGTGCTCAAGAGCCTATCAATCAGCAAAACACTTTCTTTCCACTCTGTACCGTTTGGCCTTTTTTCTAGGTTTTCAGTTTTTGTTGTAAACAGTTTTGTCACCTGCTCGGGTACTCAAGTGCAAACGGCTGATACAGGAACTAACTCGGAATGACAAATACCATGTTCACCTTTTCACACACCTACCATATCTGATAGCGTCGAAAACTTTGAAATCGTTAGATTCCAACACTTTGACAAATGCGTTTTTAAACTGATCACGACATTGCCTTGCTTACACCGCCTTGCGTAACACTGTGAGCCACTGACACTCATTCAACTATACACCTTTGCTAAATCGTCTGTAAAAAATAAGAATCTTGACTCATTTGTATTGTAATTACATTAGGTAGAGGACATACAAGGTTTGTGTTAGCCTGTTACCGAGGTCATAATACATTAACGTGGGTCAGCTTTTTAGTCAACTTGTATTGTATACAAATCAGCCGAGGTTGCCGAGGGCAGGGATAAAATTACTTTTGAAAAATTGTTAGAGAAAAGATATACCCACAAAGTCACGGCCCATCCGGAAATGATTTATGTATTCTGTGTTAGAATTGTAACAAATGTAGTCCTTTGTGGTTGGCCTAAGGGTATGTGTATTAAACTATACTATACAGACATATAGGGAGATACATCCACTCTCGGTGTAGGTTAATCAAATTAGCTTTTTAGACTCACAAGTATCATTTGCTATCTGTATTAATTGCATCATATAAATCATAACGTAGTTAAAAGCCAGATAGCATTATATACATAACACAGTATGCATAAATGATACAAAACAAACGTCCAACTTCATGATTTTTAGACAAAATCTCAAAATGAATTATATCGATACTATCATAATTAACATTCTATGCTAAAATGTTTTAATTCATGTTATAATTTATCAACTTGTAGTAATTTACTCATCACGATGAAAAGCATCGGAACACGGCACCATTTGTAAAATGTATTTATTATTGGTATGGAAATTTGTATCAACATATCAAAAGATGATTTATGTTTATATGACTTTGCAACTGAGATGTTAATGAGCATTGTCCTTTGTAATTAGATGAATAACTCAATATTTCTTTGTATCATTACAGGTCCTAATTCTGCTCATAGAAGGAGAGGACGTCAAACTTACAGTCGTTATCAAACACTCGAACTGGAGAAAGAATTTCAATTCAACCATTACCTTACACGAAAACGCCGCATAGAGGTCGCCCATTCATTATGTCTTACAGAAAGACAAATCAAGATCTGGTTTCAAAACAGACGCATGAAATTAAAGAAGGAAAAAATGGCTATAAAAGAACTCAATGAAGGGATCCCGTGCGATCTGGACTCCAAAAAATCAGACTTTAAGGAGACAGAAGAAAAAAGCGATGGAATAGCTAGTGACGATTCCCCATAATCCTTCTTAACTAACGCGAGAATCTTCGGCAACGAGAATTATTATACAAAATACTGTTTTGTCATATTTCCTTTGCGCCAGGTGCGTGAAACACGGGTTTTGAATCATCGTCAACTCTTGCCGAGTACATGATCTGCATTCTTTTCGTCATGAACATGTTGTGCGTTGTTTAATTTATTCAAAGAAGAATGTACGAGTGTGTATCTTGTCTGGAAGATATTGACGGCTGATATGACTCGATATAAATGAGAATGTGCCATATTGTAACCATTTAAAAACTTAAATTCGTAAATTTCATCTTTTTTTTTCTGTCAGAGACATACATATTTGATACAAATCGTCTCTGGTTGTATATTCCATTGGTCATTACTCGGTCATATACATGATGGCCTACACTCGCGGGTTCGGACAAGTGTAATTTACTGCTTCGCGAGTTTTCATCATGATAAGAATGTATTTGTGTCATATGGGGGTCATTGAGTACAGTTCACTATTTTTATGGATATTGAAGTTTGAGAGGCTACCACATTACTTAGAATGACTGGCGGGAATCGTTAATACACACATAAATTGAAATCATAATATTACCTTTTAATACATATAGATATAATATTAATTGTAAATATATGACCAACGTGGGTAAAATCGCAATTATGTGCAATGCTGTTTATTGCTGAGGAACGTATTCTTTATGACACCGTCAAATGTTGGGTGCGCCTGGTAACGTCTAAACATATCCCATCTGTCCATGGCACTTATTACTACAAGGTTAAAACTGCTGAAACCTAGCAACCGCGCGGGCTCGTAGGGTGTATCCGGGCTGATTGGTCCACGACCTCGTGACAGCGTTATAAAGATGTCAAAAACCCCGGCAAAGATAACTGTAAAATTTTGCTTCAAAATGACTCGGTATCAGTGATGAGACTCTGTACATCCGTTATTGTACTACATAGAGTACGTTGTAGTTGGTTCCAGGAAGGATCGGAATGAAATCTGTAAAACAGTAGTAATAAAACCATCAGACCTTGTCAAATACAGATAGATTGTTATTTTCTTATGAAATTGTATAAGAGCAAATATATATATATAGATATATATATGTTTAGCCATAACATTACCAAATATTATCAAGTCAATAGTACTTTACACTATTAAGTACATTGATGTAACATTGATTCTTTTTTTAATAATAAATGTGATAAAACTTATTCTGATTATAAAACAATAGTGTTTGGCAAGAAATATCTCTACATACTTATTAAATAGGAAGTTTAATAGAAGATATCATAAATACATTTGTAAATGTATTAAGATCGAATTTATTATCGATATATATATATCATGAAAAACATATATGTAATAACTACAGGGGTTTTCCTGGGATTAATCGTTAGGTGAGATCCGATTTGAACATGCAAAAGTAGACAATCTAGCATTGAGCCTGACCCCGGGAAGCCATACCACTACACACAAACGTGATTTTCATGATTGTGTCGTTCGTGAATCATGTTGAGTTTTCGATATAAAGGGTAAACTGTGTGTTTTTTTCTATTTGTACACCGGACATAAATATGTTTTAATATGTGTATATACAATATGTATTATAACGAAGAAAGGGTAATGCTAGCATTTTCACAGGTTCGTTCTAAACTTCATGTTTTATCGGTAAATGCTATTTAGATTTGTTACTATGTTTTAAAATATAATTTTTATGTCATTTCTATAGTTATTACGTAATCAAATTGAGCATAATTGATATTATCACATTTTCTTCTTCCCTATTCGGTCACTACGTTTCAGAGAAATTGTGTGCTGACCTTTCATTTTTGTAAAAGAAACTTTCGATTAGATATTTTGCATTTTATAATGGGATATTAGGCAAATAGATTTTTACATTTTTTGTAGCTATTTTTGTGGATTTCATCGTGTTTACGCCGTATACAAACGATCCATGATAATTTTGACCTTTGACATTCCTATAGTAAATTCCCTAGCCAATCAAAACTGCCATTACTTACTTATACACTTTTCCCTCTGTGTTTCAATGATAGAAAAATGGTATTTTAGTATATATTTTATTCTGTGAACTTAAAGGCAATTTTGCATCAAATCTTTCTTGTTTACAAAACTCAAATATCATCTATGTATATGAGATATTTTATTTTCTACTTATTGACTCTAGCTTTGTGTATTCTTAGAATACATCACGATGTATGTTTATTTCGTAAGTGCTGAATTGTATATGTGTCATGTAATGTGTGAAAGTGACATTTGGGAAAGTGTGAAATATGATTCGAACCATAGATATTATAGCGGAAAGTACGTTTTCTAAAGACAAAAGTATCCATTTATATGTAGTATATATATAAAAAGTATTCTATGTAATTAGTTTGTCGTTAGCAACAGAAATTCACCTTTGTGTAATATTAAATTCTGAATATTCAAATCTAGCAATCTCCCCTTTTTGTCTCATGACAATTATAGTTGTATTCCATGGTTTGTCTTCCTCCTTTCGCTTTGGCTGTGGTTGTTGAGTGTATGTCACGGTGTCATATTGTCCTATAAAAACTGTAATATTGTAGTGGCGTCATATACGTCGTCATCGATACTTTTTCGAATGAAGTCACATGCTCATTACACTATGAATGAATCCTCAGTTACGTGTATACCAAAAACGAGATATAGTGCACGTGTATTTTGTTTGTTAAAATACAAGAAAAAGTTTTAAAGATATTTTAAATCAACTGCCGTATTGATAGGTGCATTTAAAAGAGAAATGATTTAATTAGAATCTATTTTCCTTGTTGACTATAATTTGCTGTATGAAATAAAATGACAAATACTTCAACTACGCCTTGTGGGTTTTTTTTTCATCACGAATAGAAACATTTGTACAATTTAATCACTCAAAATGAAGGAAGGGAGCACTAATTTAACAAAAAATATATTGTTTGCAAAAGCCAAACAGTAAGATATATCTACTGCGCCTTATGGCCATTTCGTCCATTTAAGTCTGCTCTGTTGTTCTCATGCCAACCCAATGAAATATATGTAAAAATGAAAGATGACAATAAAACGTGTTTATACTATTACAACTTTATAACTCTTGGCTACAGCAGAAAGGTTTGTTTTTTATTAGAACTTTCTGTAAAACATGACAAAATTAATACCAGTTACAAGGCTACGTCAAACCTGGGGAACTGATTATCCACTAGATGAGTTGCAGCCTTGTTGCGTAACCACTTGACAAAATAATACAAACGTCATCGCTTGTGAAAGTTAATAAGATATGATATCTCGTTGTTAGTTTGAACTACCACAGTACAGAGTATCAATTGTTCTGAGACTTCATATGATATTGAGATTTGTGTTATTATAAATATTAACTTAATATGACTGTTTTCGTAATTCTGATTTTTCATTATTCTTAACCTAAAGTGTTTTTTGTTATGTTTCGATAAGAAAATCATCTAAAACAAAACAAAACAATCATCTAAAACTTCAACCCACAAGAATGAAACAGCATGAACTAATCAAACACCAACGTAAAAGATAGGGCATCCTGAACCTCTTACCAAAATTAATATTCAGAAGACTAAACTCTCTGTCCTAAAATAATAAGCGTTTTATAAACCCTCATATTACACTTATTTGGTTATTTCCTGGGATATATATCGTCTTTTCTATTCTATTGATGTCGGTTCGGTTCCTGATATTGACACATCCTTTTGAGGGTTTTAAATGTGGTCTTGAAGAATGTTGAAACGATTGATTATTACATAAATCCGAAACCAATGAGTCTAGAATGATAACGATGTTCCACTGTGGAAATCAAATATTTTAACAAAATGTAAATCACACGTTTAATAATATCAGTTTAACAATAGTAGTGGCTGTGGTATTTTACCTTGCTGTGACGTATTGATTTATATGTGGCAAAAAGTTGGGATTATCAATGGATGTATAAATCCAGACTAACATCAACACAAGTCTGGACACTATCGTACCTCGAATTTCTTTCCAAACTGGATACCTTAAAAGACAGCTGTTTTCCCGAAACGTATGTTCTATATTCGCCATAAAATTTGTTTTATTTCTTTCGAAAAACAGGGGAAAAAAAGAAAACAATAAAACCACAAATCGCAAGTGTTAATTAGATTTGCGGTTTATACCTGTATAAGGAGTTTTAATTACTTAGCAAAGAAGATTGACACAAACATGTACAGAATTGGAATGCAGGTTGGTATATATGCACTGAAATGTATATGCTGATTTGAGATGAATCTATCCTGACGTTTCTGTACCTTGTGGTACCATAATACTGAGAAAGACACGCCTTCGATGGTACCTCTGTGGCAGTCCTAGAACAATTGCAACGTAAAAGAACAATGCTTTATTAACTTCGCAAGCAGACCAAGGTAACGCTGTGTCACCTAACCATGTTCGTCAATAAAATTCTGATAAAAATATATCCAACTAAGCTAGCTATGACAATTCAACACACCGCTTTTAAAGGTCAAATAATTAAGACTCTTTTATTACACTTCTCCGAATAATTATCAGCGGTATTGATAAACGAATTTCATTCAGTGCCACAATAAACGTATTCAGTGCAGTCAGTAAAGGGTAGGAGTGCCAATGTATATGAAAATTAAACAAAGAAGACATCTTTGTTGTTTAAGCATTATCTTCCAAAACCTCTTGATACCATCATAAAACATATTTACAACTGTGTGGCGTTACGCATTATAACCCTACCAAGTGTAGGTGGCATTCATGACAGCTATGGATATTGCTGGCCAAATGACGTCGTCTACAATATAATGACGTCATGATTATAACGTTGAAAATCTACTGACTGTTCTACAAGGATGCATGGTAATATATTTTAACTTGAATCATGATAAATTGATTTAATTGTTTGATATTTAACGTTTAACTAGTTATTGATTATTGATCTGAATTTCATACTGCTAATGAAAGCCAACTTCAACCGTTCAATAAGTTAAGTATACGCATAACGTCAATGGTGATGTTCGAACAAATCATGAAGAAAGGAATAGATTTGAATCGAAAGATGACAGCATACCTCGACATTGTATATTGCAACAAAGGTATCATAAGGCAGCAAGTTTTGGCAGAATTTTCTGCCGATTGATAATCATGCTCCCAATGATACGTCGTTTGTTCCTCACTCAAGACTTAAAATTCCTGTAGAAATACGATAAAAACAGCATTGCCAGTAAAGCGGGTCTTCTGGAAGAGCAAGCCAGCATGCAGACCGATTGTTGGTTTAGAAACATGGCAGTCGTCTGTGACAGGGACCATTAGACTAATCTCCTAGAAGAGGTAACCGTACTTTAATTGTGTAAAGCTTTATTTTATTAAAAGAGTCTTGTTCTTGTTGGATTAATCTACACATGATGATTCATGTAACCCATAAAAACCACTGGGGATTTCACACAAGCTGGTAATTAAATAACATCATAATAAGAGGTCCTTACTGCCCAGTTATGGGTATCTATGTCACCTGGGTTGTTCAATACTCTCTAGTGGTATTTCTTTAATAGATTTTTCCCAGTTCGTTAAAGATTATCGGGAAGACGAAAGGCGCCTTCCCATAACCATGGGACATTCCAACTGAACAAGTATTCTGAAATGTATCAGAACAAAGACTACAGCATACTGGCAATCGCAAGCGAGATTCAATACTGGTCGTGATCAATTGTTTCAGTGATAAGTGCAAGGACGTCTTTCATAGTAACTGTTTCCAACTTTTTATTCAAATTGCCCAGAAGCAATGTTGTATGTTCATAAACGTGGTCAGCAGAGCTTAGGCAGCGATGAATATTGATTTTACACTAACCGGTATAGATTTAAAACGTGTAAATATATAGGTATGTTTGTATTTCCTTCTGATATCTCCGCTAATTTGGGTGTTTTAAACACTTCTGATAGCATATTTACATGTAGCAATAAATTGTGTCAATAACTGGCATCTTCGACCAACGAAAGCGGAAACGATAAAGATAAAACATACAATTATATAAAGTGTTTATTAATGGATAATGCTATGCACAATGTACGTTCATTTCCCCATTAAATATGTTTATTCATGGTTTTAAATATTTCAATAGCATAGCTTTCTAAAAAAAGAAGCACGACTAAGTAAAACAGGTTGTCCTAGTACCTTTAAAGAAAATTATCCTTGCCTGTGTGCTAACACTGTGTTGTATTTAAGCCAACGTTGCTTCTCAATATATACATGTGTGTTGTCTGCAATACACGTATTTCCCCTCCTATAAAACTGGTAACATTATACGTCTCTATGTCGAAACCAAAGACTGTATCAAAGCAGTCTTTCTATATGTGGATTATGTAACATAACACAATGTAATTTCACACAAAAACTGCATTCATTCTAATATAACGTGGTAAGTGGGTTACTTCTGTTTTTTCTGTTGGTAAGCCATTCTTCCACTACTACCGTAGGTCGTACAAGCGGCGTTACATAATAAAATGTAAATGAGTGTGAAGACCGTCTATACCTGTTGCACAATATGACATACATATGTATAGCAATGTTTATTTTGTCAGCCGTGCACTGTCTCTCCAATTAATATCACTTACACTGATTATTAGACTAAAAGACGTGCATACGATGCAATAACAAGCTTCAGTGAGATTGTATTTTGTTTCCGGCCCCGATGTCACAGAGGTGTAACGGCTGACCAGCGGGTCATTGAGTTCAGATCTTACAGATAGTTTTTTTTCATGTTGACAAATTCACCGGCATGTTCACACCTTTCAAGACGGAGCAATCATTCAATGTGTGCTACAGGTTCTGAGACGGATGGAACGTTTTCGGGCCTTGATAGAGCATCCGATACAGAGAACCCAGTTCGAACGATTGGTATACAAACAGCCTTAACGACCATTAGCACACGGTAATAGCTTATGTTTGAAAAGTCAACGCTGAACTATTGTATTTTAAGTCGTTTGATGGCATTGTTGAGAATTTAAATGGAGTGAATGTTATCAGCGCTCTAGGGACATTAGTTAACTGTGGCGGCCTGTCGGACAGCTGCGGGGCAGCTACCCTAGCTAAACACCCGGCCAGAGTATATGTATCGCCTTATCTTATACCTATTATATAATTCATCTATTTTTCATTTATCGTTACATGTTTGTTTGTATATATAAACCATTATTGATAGATTGTCAAACATGTGATCTGTTTATCAATGTATCATCGTTATAATGCTGTTTTATGCCATTTGTCATCACGCTTGTATAGGTTACAATAGTTTACGTGTAAACAGTATATCAATACATTGTAGACGTTTGTTTTGATCTATTGTTGATATGTAACGTGAATGAAATTATCGTAATCTCTTCCGTCCATCACCGTACCACTGTAAACTAATTTAAACTATAAATAGATTGTTATTGGGTATTCGACAGACCAATGTAATATCCAATGGCCATGATCTATCTTTTTCTTGTTATCAAAGAATTGAGTAAATAATAAAAAGTCTATAATTTGATGATAATGTGTTTTATGTAAAAAATGGTAATACATTTTGATGAATAGTCTATATATTTTAACCTTTAGAAAGATAGAAAATGTGTATGCTCCAATGAAAGATCGGTTAAGCATATAGATAAATCATTTTTGTATAACTAAGAATGGAAAGAAACAAATATATCTTGTGTATGTTTTAAAAGAGTTGACAAGACGAAGTCGTATCATTAACGGTTAAACTTACTATAAATCTTAACATAGGTTAATGATTAAATTTGATTCAATCAAATTATTTCTTTATTACATCCGGCTAAAAGAACCAT